TTTGTAAAACCTTTAAGTTTTTCAGCAAGAACTGGCACCCAGGAATAAAATAGTTTACTAGCCTTACTTTTCGAAATATGAAAGCGCCGTCCCAAATAACCAAACATCAAACTAAGTGTTAACCTTTAAATCAGTACGATCAAGCAACAGCTGATCTGCAATATCGTAGTTGAAAAGTAAATTGTGTATTTATTCCACTAAAGTACAGTTACATAAGACAAGTATACAATAATTTAAGGCGTAACTGTCATTCATAATATGTCTATTTATACGCTGACGTGGTTTCCTGATTTTATTCAATTTTGAACTCCTTACTCCTCTGTTAACAATATGTTTGTCTGAGTTAATGTTGTCGGAACGTCTGTCCATTTTGCAGCCTAAAGATAGTCGTCATGTATAAAAAAAATCGTCTCTTCATACTTGTTTGATTTGCATCCAATGCATGCATGTAGCCTCGGGGTAGGTTTCATTATTATTATCTAAAGGAATGTGCAGGAACGGATTTAGGGGGTGCCCAGGCCCCCTTATGAAGTTTCATTCATGGTTAGTTCAGACTTTTTACCGCTTTCACTACAAATTGTGTCTTGTTTGGGGACCCGCGGCCCCCCTTTCAAAATCCTGGATCCATCTAATGTGTAGATCTTCTATACAAACAGAGACAGATGCACTGTAGTCATCGGATTAATTTTCATAGATAATTTCGTGTCAACATTCTTCTGCCAGTGTAATTTTACTTTCATAAAAAGTTTTATTACAAAAAAGGATTGTGTGCAGTCGGCACAACTTGTATAGTTCACATATTTTATTTATTGATTTTTTTTTTGCACATCTGAAATTTTCTACAATTATTTGGACAAATATTAACTGCACAAGAAATGCCTCCGCCTTTTTCTTATAACTTTCGGCAGTATCCATAGTGAAATAAATAAGAAAATGAAGGAAATACAAATGTAAACAGAAAATCGATAATGTTTTGATCAATACACGTGCGTTATTTTTCACGGTTGTAATGGCGGATCGGTCACGTGAGAGGTTAATGGATGCGCCCATGTTTTCTAGGTCAATTATAGATAAACCCGTCTTGCGATTTTTTAATAACCCTTCATTGGTATCTTCTTTTTTAAAATAAAAAAAGCCTTTGAAGCGCTAACAATTTTTAAAGCACGACTGAGAGGATGAAGTGTAATTTTCCACTCAAATTGAAAACACACCCACAGCAATTCGATGATCTTCCCAAATAGTTTTTTTTTTAATATTAATAAACTTCATCAGAAACCATCAAAAGTGTATATATGTATGAAGTCCAAAGTGACACAAAACTGAGGGAAACTGTCTAGGGGACGGTCTAGGGTAAAAGTTTTTAAAACATTACAATCTTTTTTAAATCTTCATGGAATTTCAATAAACTTTAACACAGCTTCTTCATAATTAAAAAAACCTATCTAGAACTAAATTTTGATCGGGTTGTTGTCTCTTTGACGCATTCCCCGTTTCCATTCTCAATTTTATTTACTTGTAAATACAGTCAGCTTTTAAATATTATAACTACAATGTATGGTTTAAGATTTTCTAACTTGAATAAATTTGTTAAATGTTCATGGCCGGAATTTTACAAAACTTGGACAGAAGACTTTTATGTAATCAAGAAATAGCATACTTGCCACATTTTGAATTTTCTTTTTTTTTTCTGTATTTTACAAATAAAGGTACATAAATCCGGGCAACATTACACTTTTACACTGACAGCAGCAGTCACAGGTGAGACACAGGGTTTTAGATATTTACCCCAGGATTATGTCAAAGAACGTCTCATCCTTTTTCTAAAAAAAATCATCGGAAGATACCAAGACCTTGTTGATAAATATTCCGTATCAACTTCACAAATATTGCATGCTGGTCTTGAAGTATAGATTATAGGTACTGACGTTTTTTTCATCTTAATTGCGTGTTATAGTGTTCTTTTATTTGTCTTTGTAAATTATTACCTTTACTGTTTAGCCCATTTTTGGTAATACCCCTTTGGCGTGGCTAGGTACTTATACATCCTGTCATTGTGTTATTGTGCTGTGGTCAATTTTTGTATTCTTGTCTTTCATTTTTGCTTATGTGCTTGGTCTGTATGCCATTCTGTTTTTCTTTGTTGACATTTGTTTGTTTTTATAGTGATTAAGATTATAACACAATGTTGACTGCTGTACCCCTATTTTTGACATTTTTACCTATTATGTCTAGTTGTTTTGTTCACACATTGTTGTCAATATAAAGGAATTGTATACGACTGTTATGCAAGTGAGAGGTTTAGGTAGCTATAAAACCAGTTCTAATCCACCATTTTCTACATAAAGAAATGCCTGTACCAAGGCAGGAATATGACAGGTGTTTGAGCTCTTTATTTTGTCATTTGATAAGGGACTTCCGTTGTGAATTATCTTTGAAGTTCTGTATTTTTGTTAGTTTACTATATCCATCAAAAACTGGTGAGCGAGCATAAGGCTCATAAGATTTCATCTGGTAACTAAAGATTGTGCCCAAATTTTCGTTTTATCAATTCAGCAGTGACCTTGACCTTTAACCTAAAAATCACTAGGAGTTTCTTCACCCCATGTCTAGTCAAATAAAATTTGGTAAAGATATATATTACTTATGGGTCAATTACTTCAATTAGTCATCTATGAAGTCTAGTAGAAATATTCAGTTGTCAGATTATTCAATTCTGAGCATTTTTTTACCCAATTGTTTTTCTCTATCCACTTTAACTTTCAAGATATTAGATAGCTACTTACTTTTACCTCTTTTGTCCCAGCAGCCATGTTGATAGTAACCAGAGGCATAAGGAAGAAAATAAGTTGAACTACAGTGGCAAGTGATGGCCAATACCAGAACAAAAACTTGAATTAGGTAATCTAGTGATAACTTATTCTCGTCTTCCAAAACACACTTAAACAATAAATGTCTCATGCCAAAATCAAATTTGTTTATATCATTATTGTATGGTTCATAACATTGTGCTACAATCTAAAATGATTTTACTTAACAGTATGTGTGCCTGGCCCAAGTCAAGAAACTATTCAGTGGTTGTTGTTGTTTGCTTCTTGTCATATTTGTTTTTGGTTTATGGCTTAAGCATAAATCAGGCAATTAATTTTGCTTAATTTGAATTATTTTAGAATTTCTCATGCAGTGGCATTTTATAGTTTACTATGCTGAATAGGTTGTGCTCATAGCTTAAGGCGGTAAGGTTAAATATAATGCTTACATCTAACTCATTTGGTCTCTGATGGATAGTTGTCTCATTGACGATCACACCACATCTCTTTGATTTTTATATTTATCCCCTGGTAACCAAAACAATCTCAATTTTTGAAGGTAAATCAGGGTCATTACTCTAGATTGATTGATTGGTGTTTAACGCCGCTTTCAACATGATTGTGCTATTTCGTGGCGGTCATTTTTAATTGGTGGAGGAAGCCGGAGTGCCACTGAGAGAACCATCAACCTTCGGTAGGAAAACTAACAATCCTAGTCAATTAAGATTGGAGTCGAGTGCACCTGCCCCGTGCAGGATTTGAACTCGCACCTCAGTGTTGACTGGCTAGTGATACAGTAGTTCGACTACTTAGACCACTGGGCCACCCCTCATTACTCTAGAAAGTAAATGTCAAAACCATCAGAATCAAATTTGATCTGTATCTTATTGGTAATGATGTTATACAATCAGTACTAAAATTATCATCATGAAACCTCAAATTATAAGGTAATCAAGGGTAATAACTCTTGAACAGTAAAACCATTAAAATCGAACTTAACATTTTGTTCAAATTCTAAAGATTGGGTCAAGCAGTACTGAAATATCATCTGCAAACATAAGAAATCCTAAATTTTATGGCAACTAAGATGGATAACTCATGAATGGTAAACATCAAAACCAAACTTGACCTGTTTTTTGAGTGTCCATATTTCACAAGAACTGTTTAAGCAGTTCTTTAATTATCACCTGAAAACCATTGAAACTCCAAATTTTAAGCTAACTTAAGAGGAATATTTCCTGAAAAGTAAATTTTAACCAAAGTGCTTGTGAGCACTGAAGGGTAAAGATTGCTTTCATTTTCGTTTTCGCGAATTTTTAAATAAAACATTGAATTATATTTTGATATGCAAGTTAAAAATTTGAGTTAGAGTTATCTTCCTTTGTTCATGATTGTGCATTTGTAGTTGAACCTATTCATACACCATGCATTACTTATGTAATTTTTAATAATAAAAAAAAAATGTTTTCTTGTCAAGTATGGTAATTCAAATACATATCATATTATATCTTATAATATCAAAGTATAACATATCATCAATTAATTGCTTGACATTGATTGGATAGGATCTAAATAATGATCACTTCACTGCACTATTGTGTATGAACTATGAAAGCTAGTGATCAACCTTGGAAGATATAGACATCAAGTCAGTACCATAGGGTTTTGATTGAATTTCATGCAATCTTTACCTAAAAACAACAAAATCGAACAGGATTTGTATTTTAAGGTCCTTTGTGGTCAAATTTCAAAAGATTTGGTCAAGAGGTACTTTAAATATCATCTGGAAACCAAACATGTGACAGACGAACAGATATGTGAATCACTAGAATGTTTTGACTCAATTATTTTCTCCATTCATCCCTTAAATGTAAGTACATGAATATAAGTCATTGTAAAACAAGAATGTGTCCATAGTACATGGATGCTCCACTCGCACTATCATTTTCTATGTTAGTGGACCGTGAAATTGGGGTCCAAACTCTAATTTGGCATTAAAATTAGAAAGATCATATCATAGGGAACATGTGTACTAAGTTTCAAGTTGATTGGACTTCAACTTCATCAAAAACTACCTTGACCAAAAACTTTAAACCAAAGCGGGACAGACGGATGGACGGACGGACGCACTGACCGAAAAACATAATGCCCCTTTACTATCGTAGGTGGACCAAAAAAAACTAAACTGCCATATATATACTACTAACTTTTACTAATACAACATCATATTTACAAATTGCTTATGTAACAACTCAATCTAAGATAATATGACAAAATGTTGAACACAGTTTTCTAGTCTTAAGTATCATATTCATATTCTAGTATCAAAATGAATGATCTCATGTCAACTGCTACTCAAATAACATTACCTTTTACTCAGCATCTAACATAACTGATCCATTGATTCCTTTAATTTCATGGGTACCAATTTTTGAGGATTGAGTAATATTTGCATTTTCTTGGATACTTGATTTCTTGGTTTTGCCCAATTCTTCATATAAACTTTTAGAAAATTTGTATTTCTTTGAAAATTTAAATTCGTGGTTCACCTGTAACCAAGATATCCATGAAAATTGGAACCCATGAATAATAATTAATACACGTTATTCTACAACATTCATATTCAAATGATTTAAGAGTGTATGGTTTATTCTTTACAACACTGTTTTTGGCAGTATAGATGGAAACTTTAGTGAAAAATGTAACCCTTTAAATTGTTCCTTATGAATTATCAAATTTAACATCCCCCAAAAAATATCTGCATTTACAATATTAATCACTTAGACAATATGATGATAAAATGATGGTCTAACATAAGGGTTCATCATGATGATTCCGCTTTTGGTCTCTTGATCGGTGATTCTTCTGATTCTTTGCTTGTAGTGGAATCTGAAAAGAGTAAAAACATACATTTATCCTGCAATTGACCTTTCAACTATACAAATACAGGTGTACAGATAATACAAAGCTATAAATGTATACTAGTCATTTATAATCTCCTGGTATCCTGCTTCTGTTGGGAGCATAGGGTTATGTTCAAATTACTGTTTACATCACAGTTCAATTAGGGGTCCTGAATGCAGTCTGAGTTGAAGTCGTCGTCAGTATCATTCAAAAACAAATTCAACGACTGGTGTTTTTGGGATGTTATTTTGATTTTAATAGGAAAATTTAAAACTTTTGTACCTTAAAGCTGACTTATATAACATGTATAAGACACAAAGAAAGACCACAATCATGAATTAACAAAGCAAAACACTTTAGAAAACCAACCATTTCCTGATTCAAAAGTGCTGAATTACATATAGACTTACTTCCAGAATGATATTGTTTAATTTCCCAGTGGACCACATTTTGATATCTAGATTTGCTAAAAATCCCACTGACATTTCAATTTATCTTGTCACATCATGCATGGCTCCCCATATTTTATCCGAATAATAAATGGCTTTGTTTACAAAGTTTAAAAGAACGTCATATTAAAACTACTTTTACTGCTATCAATACTATTTGGGAATTCTTTTTATCCTTTTTAGTATGTATCATTAGTCAATGCAGCTAGTTTATACTTATGTAGTATTTAAGATTTTTTTGGAATAAAAGATATGTTATTATCTAAATAGACAATTAACAAAACAATCTATATTTTACAATAAGTGACTTTTTCAATTTTTGTTTTAAAGGTAAGAATCTAAAGTATGTATGTATTCTGATTTCAGCTTGGAAGTAAAATAAACTATGCAATACATGTACCATTCATATCTTACCATTAGTATCTTTCTTTTCTTCATGCATCATACTCATGGCTACAAAAACAAATAATATTTATAAAACTAGAAATATCCACTACTTATGGAATTAATAACCGCTATCCTCCTCCAGCTATTAGGGTATTCTCCTTTGAATTTGTTTTCACAATTTGTCATGCCTTTTATAGCTGATTATACATGGGTTTTTGCTCATTGGTGAAGTATGACTGCCTTTGCTTACATCCATGTCATTTGTACTTTGGTAGATGGCTGTCTCATTGGCAATCATACCTCATCTCTTTATTTTATATTAGTGTGCCTCAAAATTTTTATGTTGTCCTAAAAAATATTTAAGTAATTTCCAAATGGGTCTGGTAACCTGATAATCATGATAACTACTAATGCCATGATTAATGTTGTAATTGAACAAGTTTACATTCGTTAGTTTTCTTTTTTGCGAATGAAATAGCAATACATGATCAATATAAGGTATAAAGTTGATTAGCCTGCAACAACTATGCAAAATTAACACTTCTAAAGTTGAGCCTTGAAAAAATCACTGTTTAATGACAAATGTTGTATAATACATTTAATGTCTTGTGGTAGCAAAATCCATTCAAATGATGATGGTTTCAGGATATCCACATTTAAATCATACCAAACTTTTTGCTATTTTACCAAGCATGCAGATTTAAAATTACAATGTACTAAAACAGCAATGTCGGGATAGCTCTGAGTAAGAAAATGATTTTAGCTGTGCAGACTATAATATTGTTAACTGCTTTATCAAAATAAAGCTCTGTAAGTTGGCTTTATTTTAATGTAAATATTCGGTTCTTTTATCCTGAACATGACTTTAGATTGCTTACTTTCAATTATACCTTTGATAAAGGCTTTATCATGTTTATTGTATCCTAAATGTAAAAAAAAATCACTTTGTTAAGTCTGTACTCGTTTGAGTCTAAAATATTTGTGCTGCGTCTCTAGTTGATTGTGTCACCCTTTCCTAAAAGCATGGGAGTTGGCAATACCCAATATGCAGTGAGCATGCCTTTTATTTTTTAAAATCATTATTATAGGACATGCCAAAATTTAAAAAAAAATTTAAAGGGATAACTTTGGTTATCATGGTTATGGGAGATATATCTTTAAATAAGTAAGGTGTTTGAGATAGCCACTTTCATCATTGCTCTCTAAGCATTCTTGTGAATTAGAATAATAATAATGAGTTACTAATAAGCTTAGAATATATTTTAATATGAAAATTGGTTGACACATACATAGCAACAATTTTTAAAGAGATATCTCCCTTAACCTAGATCTAGATCCTTAAGCTTTTGTATTTAATATTTCTACAGAACCTGATGTTAAATTTGAGTGGAGAGATGGGATATGCAAACATTGGAAATGAAGTGGTGACATATTTCAAATCAGGGGCAGATCAAAGATTTGATGTTAGTGGTGTCCTGATAATTAGGAATTTGAGGACCTTATTTTGACACAAAATTGGTCGTAATTTTAACTTAGTAAGTCTGGTTCACCCCATCTGATTTTGAGCCTTTTAGTGAACTGTAGTGTTGTATGTAATCAAAGTGGACAATTACCTAGTCTGACATCAGTTGATCTATTCTGATCTGATTCATTGCTATCTTCTCCAACTTGAGAAAATGCCATGTTAGAATTCTCAGCATAAGATTGGTTAGAATCTTCATTAATAAACCCAGAACATTCACTATCAGGTTGAGACATAGTTGACTGCTGTGTGTTCTCATCTGTGTAAACACTTGAGGGGCCTGGAATATAAAAAGATAGTTTTATTTAATCAATGTTTGGATGCATTGGAAGGCAGTTTCTGTCTAAAAAAGGTATTAAGTTGTCCAGTGTTATTGGAAACGTGTTCCTGAAACTGAAATTTAATCTTGGACATAAGTTTTTGTTTTATTGTGGGTCCCTGGATGCTTACATTTTTCTCAGACTCTCAAAATACTCTCTTAACTGATCAATTCCAAATCTGTCACAGATTACAAACAATGCAAAATATCAGTTTAAATATTGTAAATGAAGTTTACTTAACTCTTTAACATAGAGATATGTCTCCCCTATCTGTAATTTTTATTGTATACATTCATTGACATACAGTCGAACCTCGTTGTGTCGAAGTCGAAGGGACCAGACCAAAGTATTCGACTTAAACGAGGTTCGACTCATCTGAGGTCAAGTGTGTAGTCATAAATTTGGAATGCATGAAATACGGTATGAGATTAGTGTAAACTAGTTACTTTGAACAGTGTGCCTTTTTTCGATATGACACTTTATGATTGTGTATCCAATCTCCATATTTTTTTATCCTTCATAATAATTAAACACACAAGTAGAGATACAAATCATGCACAAATAAAATCAATAGTCTACACAAATATTTACAAAGGTCAGTCACTATAAATTATGAAATCACTCGCGGAACAAACAAGTTCTGAATCTCTGGTGAGGTCGTCTACTTTGCATTAAATTATTAAAATTTTACATTATTGTCTAAATACTTTTACAAATGTATTTATTGTAATTAATGAGTTTTAATTGAAACTATTCATTTAATCTCGGCTTGGGTCATTTAAATTCATTTCGTTCTTATGGCAGGTGAAATATGCTCAACACACTAATGTTTTGCTTGAACGATCAACAAAGGTGTTAATTACCGGTCATCATAAACATGTCATTTTAACTGTTATACAAACAAGTATGTTTACTCAGTTTTAATCTCTTTTGAAAATGATTAGGTTACATAAGAAATACATCCGATTTGAATTTTTATCATTAGGTTTGTATCTTTTGAAAATGCTTACTTTCGAAATTCGAGACATCGAGGTCAATTAACATTAATTTTACATCGACGGGACTATAAAATTTACTCGACTTAACCAAGTATTCGAATCAACCGATTTCAACTCATCAGGGGTAATTATGCATTGAGCAAACGGGAATTTTACCGGAACCGAGAAATTACTTCGACTCATCCGAGTTTTCAACACAACCGAGTTCGACACAACGAGGTTCAACTGTAGTTGTAATGCAAATGTTGAAATTAAAATGGCAATACTTTAACAAGTACCTATGCAAAACATTCAAAGTCAATGAACCATGACTGAGGAGGCAGGATCAAATCAACATAGATAACAGATAACCCAATGCTTATACAACTGCATACCATATACTAATGGGTTACCTTAATGGTTTCTCTTTAATAAACTGAAACTCATCACTCAAACTTTTCCATTTAAACTACACAAAAGTTTCAAAGTCAATAGGCAATGACTGAGGGGACAGGGCCAATAATCTTCATGAAAATGAGATGTGCCAATACAATTACAACTGCATACCAAATATCATTGACTTACCATTAGTGGTTCCAGAGCTCCAGATAAGCTGCATATTTGCGTGATCACGCAATACAAATTATAAAAAACCCAATGCAATTGACCATTGCAGGGTTCAATAACCCAATTGATTCAAAGGAAAACCCAATTATGTGCCAAAACCATGAGTTCTCAACCCTTTTTTTGGCTACCGTTTGCGTTATTTACCCTTATCTGTTTACAGTCGTCGCGTAAATCTATTTTTATAATAATTGGAAATTTCCTTTCGTTCTTAAAATAGATCTCTGCATCAAGAAGCTGAAATGGGTCCCTGTTTAAATTTTCCGTTGCTCAAAAGGTACACGTGGTTTTGAAAACATTTCGATCTTCTCAGCGTTTATCCAATTAGTGTGTGTCATGTTATCATATTTTTTTCGAATTGCTCGGGATTTATCATAACATACATTGAATTAAAACAAAAGTGAAAGTCCGGTAGAAATATTGAATAGAAGCATGTTTTCAGCTTCTTTTGAATAGCTAAGTGAAATTTATGATGATAACAAGACTCAGCCATTGTTATTAGGAAGCCTCCATAGAACGCACGGGTGTTTATGCGTACCTTACAGGCCTCTACAATAACTTTTTTTTCAACTTGTCCAGTAGGACAAGTACATACCAAAACTTACTTGTCCGAATGAAATTGTAACTTGTCCAAAAAAAATCTTATTAATAACCGTTTTTGCATTTAAAGTTGATTCAAGGAACAAAATGAATTAAAACAATAGAACAGAATTTGATTTATATCTTTTGAAATACTTTTCAAAAATATGAGTCGAGAACAACTGAATCTAGTCATGTCACAGGACTTAGGTTCTAGCTTTCTTCAATGCCAAAGTCTCATCAGACTGACTGCACTAGGCACCGTCTGATAGGCCTGTCAATGTACACTCATTGGATTTGTATCTTGGTTTTTAAGTTGAAAAAAGTTTTTTCAATGGCAATCAATAAAAAAAAGAAGATGAGGTATGATTGCCAATGAGACAACTCTCTGCAAGAGACCAAATGACACAGAAATTAACAACTATAGGTCACTGTATTGCAAGTATTGTTTTTTTCTACATATGATCAAATATGATTTTGTGAATTTTATGGTAAATAATTTCTTCATTTTTATTTAAAAAATATTTTTTGTTAAAAAAAATTACAGGTATGGTATTTATTATAAAGCAACAGAATAAGGTCGAAAACGAGGTCTTGGTCCCGAAATGAAATGTCTCCCGAGTTGCCAAACTGTCTATTAATCATGTCTATTAAAATTAAATATGTCTCCTACGGTGCCAAACTGTCTATTAAATTTGGAGCCAAATCGTTTCCGAGCGAGCTGGTGACGAACTATCTTGAAAAGTTACCTTACTTGTATCTACAAAGCGCATCGCTGATTCGGATCAGTAAGACTGGTTTCCGAGAAAAGTATGCCTTTTACCTCTTAAACAGTACCTGACAAAGAACCAGTTTTAAAGTATCGATTGCAAGTAAACATGTCAAATTAATACTTGTTTTTATCTTCTTTTCTTGTTTTTTGTTTATGATAACTTTGTTCATCAAAGTTGGATTAATTTTATTTTCTGCAGAATAATTTTACTTGTCCCGTGGGACAAGCTTGATATAGCTTTTACTTGTCCGACATTTTTTTCCTCTGGTACCGGACAATCGGACAAGCGTTATTGTCGAGGCCTGCCTTATCGAGAACATTGCTAATTAACACGGGGTTTCGTCAAAAACAAAATCAGTTGGAAAAAGTGAAAGGCCAATATTGTAGTTGGAAAACATCGGAAACCAAAAGTTCTAATGAGGGACAGCTTGACCCAGATTTATATAAATTAAATTAAACAAAAACATTCAAGTATACAGTTTATATCTTATATTTCTTCCATTTTACATTTAATGAGTGAGTACACACACATGCATTCATAACAGAATTTTTTATATAAAGGTATATAGGGGGGGGGGGGGGAATCTGAGACAAGTGTCTGTGAATACACATATCTGTTTTTTACAGTTTATATAAGTTGTGACAAAATACAAAACTGGCAGACGTTTGAAACAGGACACAAATTAAACCTACAATCGCTCGTCAGTGAATAAACCTAATGAAACATCTATAGCACATATACAAAGAAAGGAACATACACATGTATTTAAGATTGAAAAACATCTGGGGTTGATATTGCTTAAATATTCAATATTGTGTGGATGAAAAAACCCAATACAATAATGAGCTTGGTGGTGAAAAACCCAATTTGATATCAACTTGAGGGGTGAATTGAAATTGATAATGCAATTAAAAAACTTTATCACCCAATTAAATAAGAAAATGGTGGGTAAACACCCCAATTTGTGAATTCTTATCTGGAGCTCTGTGGTTCCCTATCAACCTGTAACATGAGTGCACACGCTGAAATGTCTCGCCTTCTTTACTAACCATTGATTTTATGTTGATAGCCCTAAATACAAAGCTTTACTACAAGTAACACATAAACTTAACATGATCCAAGAAAATGAGGTCAAGGTCAGATAAACCAAACAAGAAATACATGTACACCTTACAATCATTCAATAAACCAAACATAGTTGACCTATTGCTTATTGTTTCTAAGAAACAGTCTTAAACAAGAAAACTTAACATTGACCAATGAACCATGAAAATGAGGTCAAGGTGAGATGAACCATGCCAGACAGACATGTACACCTTACAATCAATTTAGGCATTAAATATAGTTGACCTATTGCTTATAGTATCTAAGAAACAAACTTAACCATGAAAACTTAACATTGACCAATGAACCATGAAAATGAGGTTAAGGTCAGATGATACCTGCCAGACAGACATATACACCTTACAAATCCTTCCATACATCAAATATAGTTGATCTATTGCTTATTGTTGAAGAAAAACAGACCAAAACACAAAAACTTAACACTGAGAAATGAACCGTGAAAATGAGGTCAAGGTCAAATAAAACCTGTGAGACTGACATGTACATCATAAAATATTTCCATGCACCATTTATAGTTGACCTATTGCATATAGTATTAGAAAAAAAGACCAAAACTCAAAAACTTAACTTTGACCACTGAACCATGAAAATGAGGTCAAGGTCAGATGACACCTACCAGTTGGACATGTACACCTTACAATCATTCCATATACCAAATATAGTAGACCTACTGCTTATAGTATCTGATATATGGACTTGACCACGAAAACTTAACCTTGTTCACTGATCCATGAAATGAGGTCGTGGTAAAATGAAAATTGTCTGACAGATATGAGGACCTTGCAAGGTACGCACATACTCAATATAGTTATCCTATTACTCATAATAAGAAAGAAATTAACATTACAAAAAATGTTGACTTTATTTTCAAGTAGTCACTGAACCATGAAAATGAGATCAAGGACAATGGACATATGACAGACGGAAACTTGGTAACATAAGGCATCTATATACAAAGTATGAAGCATCCAGGTCTTCTAGCTTCTAAAATATAAAGCTTTTAAGAAGTTAGCTAACGCCGCCGCCGGATCACTATCCCTATGTCGAGATTTCTGCGACAAAAGTCGCAGGCTCGACAAAAACTAACCTAATCATAAACTTTAACAAATTATTGATGTCACTGGAAACAGTACTTCTATGTGTGGCCTCTGCAATTTTGTCTAGTATAGTGAAGACAAAAATAATATTTGTGTAGTACATGTATATTTAATAATATGAAGACTTTTAAATCTAGTTTGATCATGATGTTGACATTTATCATACCTTGACTAGAAAAGCTTCTATCATTGGAATCTAGTTTGATCAGGATGTTGACATTTATCATACCTTGACTAGAAAAGCTCCTATCATTAGATGGTGTATTTTCTTTGTTTTCTGTCTTCTTTCCAGCAGTTTTACCTCTTGCCTTTATTGTTCTTTTAAGACCACCACCCTGTTAAAAGTTATTAGGTACAAGAATAATATTATTACATTATTTAGATAAATAAATGAGTGTTACATGTACAGTAACCCATGAAAAAAACAAATGTTGTGAGCTGTACATGGTAACGGACTATCAATTGTACAGATCTCATACAGTTGGAACAACATGCAGACAGCCATACATGTATGAATACATTGTACATCTACATGTGTATATAAAATATATGTTATGAATAATAAGTTGTGTTTATATGGTTTTTGCTTATTTTTCATTTGATTTTTCATGTGAATACATGTGTTTTTATGACCTTCTACCATGTCTACTAAAACCTATGCTGAATTTTAATGTGTATTCTTTCCTTAAATGAATACATGTACAATACTACATGTATTTTGTTTGTTTGATTTTTAATATGCTTTTGTGATTGCATCTTTTGTTCATCGACTGATCATGGTACATGTAAACATCAAAGCTTGATCCAGTCATCATTCAACTAGTTTTATTTTACCATACTTATTTGTCTGTCCCACAGTAGCACCGCTTCCCCTTGAATAAGTGTGAAAAAATGACACTGGTTTTTCAGCATGCAACAATCAATCACAGTGATGACAGTAACATGTATAATTATTAATTAAGTTATCTTCTATTGACAGATTGCTGTCTCATTGAAATGCCCCCAGATTTTCTTTCATACATAATGGGAAACCATTTATAAATGTAGTACACGTACAACAGGCCAAAATTATTTATGTATGTTTACTGAAACCTGCTGAACAAAAAAGATTGTTCAGTCAGCAAAACTTTTTATGGGCAAACCTGGATATAGCCTTATCCGTTTACAGAATGAGATCCAGTATTGCATTTACCTACATTACCAGTTAGCAGCTGCAGCCATTTGTTAAGTTGTTTTTGTCTGTCAGATATGCATATATGTTTTTACTTGGTTTTACACATGTACTTGTTGATGATTTTCATCGTTAAGCTAGGGGTTGAACAAAATGGATTTCGATGTCATGAAAATATAATTTGCCAATTTTTTTCTTCTTTTTTTTTTTGGCCTTAGTGTATATATACATACCTGACTGGTTTCAGATGCAGTGACTGGTACCCATTTAAAAATCTTCATGGTTGTATCTCCTATAGTCACCCATCTTTTCTCCCTAAACAATTAATTACATAGCAATCATTAAAGCATGTGATGGTCTTTAGCATTTTAAGTAACTATAAACATGATAAATGCAAAAGGGGTAAATATTATGCTTTCCTAGAAATTTTATCACTACATGTAAAAACTTAAGGATACAAAACAAGGAATTATGTGTTAGTTATTCTACATGTTTAGACATAGAAAATGGACAAGTTTCAAACCCCCCTTCAAACATGACAAATACCATGTACATGTATATAATGTGCACTTGTGTACCCTTAAGGACTCCAGGTATCACAAACTATAGTCTTTTTCTTTCAATGTATATGTATTAACCCTCAATTTTTTAATGCATACTTTCAATTTAGAGAATATTTATTGCTTGCTTTGATATTGAATTAATATATACATGTACATTATATATGTTATATATATTTTTTGCAGATGACATGTTTTTGATCCTGACTATGCATATTTTATCTGTGTATCTATTTATTTACAAGAAAGTTATTACAATTACAAATGTAATATATATGTTTCATATTTCAAATTCTTTTATTAACCTATAAATCACAATGCAATGATCACAGATTCCAAAGACAGACATATAAATCATAACAAATACAGATAACATTAATCCATTTATCACAAATTTTCTTTTAACCTGCAATGAACTCTCACAGTTCGATATACAATGATATATATATATTATAAACAAATTATCATGATTATACCCATCTAATATTTTTTTGGGGTAGGGTGTGAGATTAACTTGCTCCTTTACTACAGTGACCTTGTATCGAACTAATTTTCAACTTTAAATTGTTCACTGCAGTCTTCTTCATGATGTCATGTGCTCTTTGTTCTGAGTTCAGAAATTTTTTATCATGGACATCAAGCCAAATTTATGGCTTATCCTTATATTTCTATAAAACTTGTTTTTAGTGATCAGTACATGCATTTGAGATACAATGTAGATGGTTCTACTTCCACTTCAAACAAGTAGTTCTTTTGTGGAAGGTTGTTTGACTTTAACATGTTTTAGCTAACTTTTTCAATTTTTCTCTCTCTCTTCATGCTCTTCTAGCTTCAACGAACTTCCTTACATTCTCGAACAATTGTGGAGTGACCCTTAGCACCTGCAGGGCAGGTGGGACCTAATGGCTGAGGTACATGTATGTATGTTTGTGATGGAGTAGCTTCTTCAAGATCAAATTTTGACAAAAAATAGTGCGAGTCTGATGCAGAGTCTGCCTCTATAAACATGATATATCATGTCTATGGATTGGGCTGTGTTACTTATCTCATCAGTTTCTGCATTAATTTATCATCGCCATTGTTAAGAGCAGGAGTTTTCATTTCTGTCAAATGACTCAGACTTTTTGGCCAGGAAAGCCCTCAATCTGTATTTGTTCCTCAAGAATGGGCTTTCCATGACTTATTTGTCTGTGACAATTGTGTATGTGTAAACTATTGTTACTTGTATGGTGTGTGCTATCCTATTGTGTCTGCACCCACTGTATTTTATATGTATGTCAGTTCCAAAGGATTGGTGTGTTGAAGGTGGGTCTCATTGGGGTCTAAGCGTGACCCGGGATTGCTGATTTTTTGTAAGCGTGACACGTGAAAGTCAAATTATTGTGCCGTGAAAACGGGAAATGAAGTCTAGCAGGACACAGGAAATTACAAAAAAATGAGAATTGCTTACGTACATAGTGTAAGCGGGATACGGGAATCTGACAAATCAGAAAGCGGGATACGGGAATCTGACAAATCAGAAAGCGGGATCCGGGATCAGAACCCCCCAATGAGACCCCCTTGAAGTACTATTACTAAATAAAAGCCGATATATTCATTTAAGTTAAGCAAGTCGTCGTTGTTAACAAAATGGTCAATAGGGACTAGACTACATATACCCCCGACTATCCAAACGTGGGTTGTTTGGATAGTAGAGGTTTGAGTTTTTTTTTTCAATGCACGTACACGATTAACGGTCTATATATCCCGCAATGGTGGTAAGTCGTGCACTTAAGGCCATTTTTTATTTTATTTTTCTGTAGACTTAGCTTTGTTTTTTTATTACTGTGTATTGTCAAGCTTGGTTACTCATAATTGTTTCTCAGTCACTGAATGTACGATGTTGTTCCATACTGCAGCAGCTGACCCGGTTTGTTTACATTCAAATTCTAATGGTTTCAAAACCACGTGACACATTGAATCGTTATATCCAATCAAATTGCTCTACTGTCAATTAGGTGATTTTTTAGTACAAGGCAATTATATTTTTTGTTTGTATGATATTGCTTTGAAATAGTTTGCAATAAATTGGGGGTTTATTCAATAGGAAATCTCTTTATTAGCCATGAAATTTGATATCAATGGAATTTTATATGAATATTTACTTATGGTCAGAATATCGATCTCTTTATATTGAACCAATTTTTTTTTTTTATGAAAAATATATGTATATTGTTTTTTATTGACCTACTCTATATTCCTGAACAAAAATATGGCATGATTATCGTTTGTTTCCCAAGGTTTTTCTTTCAATTTGGATGGGTTTTTTTCGCGGGAAAATCGCTTCGACGTAAGGTGCTTGCCATTTTGAAATTCTTAAAAATACGATTTGCTTGGCCTGTTTGATCTGCCATAAAGATTGATGACGCTAAATGGAATGTAAACAAAGCAATGGAGGCCGGAAGAGGGGATTTCTGAAGTTCTGGAATGTTTATAGGCATTCGGAAGTCAGGTTTGAAACGGCCATTAGAAAATTGGCATTTTTGTACAATACTTTAGAATAACAATGAAAACATATCTTTTGAAATGTTTGTTTATTTAGAAGAGTAGAAAAAATGTATTCTGCACTAATTTTGTACGCTGGTATTAGCGTAGTGACGTCATTGCGGAGTTTTCCCGTGTGATAAGTACAATAACAAAATCCGAACGAATCAACATTATGACCGATTATAGACTACGGTAGGATATCTGACCTGTAGTCGAGCCCCTATACGGTCGCGTCATGTAGCACACATAATTTACCACTTGACACGTCATATTTTCTCTGTTTGCTTACCATTTTCTAACTTTGTCAATTGCATTAATAACACGTTTGATATCTTCTTTCGCTCTGCTTCGAGTTTCGGCTCTAACTGAGCGGGATAACATGATATATTTTGTTGACTAATTTTGATTATTTTCTGTTTCTTTTGTTCTTTCCCCCTGTAGCCCGGATGAAATGTGACAGGTTTATGCCGGAGTGACTACGAAATGTTTCCGTATTTAAAAATGTTATTGAAAAAGATGGTAAATGAGGGTCTAAACGGGAGGCCCTTCAGTTCTGTCATGATTCTTCAATTGAGATCATGTTCTCTATTCTTATTTTTTACCCATTAATCTCTATTGTTTATATAATTTCAGCACCCCTTTTCTCTATTCTTGACTTTTGCCAATATTCTGCACTTTTTGTCTAAGTTGCATGTTCTCTATTTCTGTATATATAAAAAGCTAAAAAAGCATGTTTTAAGATTAAGAAAACAATTGGAATGGATAATCCTTGAAAACTTTTAGAAAATTTATTTGATTCATTAGTAAGTCCGATCTTACTGCATGTATTGTAGAGAGGTTTGGGGCGACGGTTTTTGATAATTCAGGAGACACTTCCATTTTGGAAAAAATCCATATGAAGTTCATAATAGAAATTATAGGTGTTCATTTGAAAAGCAATTAATGCTGCTTGTAGAGCTGAACTTGGCAGGCTTCCATTGTGGTCAAAAATCTCATTTTCTTGTATTAATTTTTTTGAACATATTTTAAGGTCTGAAAACACCCTTGTATCCAAAAAATGTCTGGCAACTGAAAAAAATAACCCCTAGACAAAGAAACTTTATTTTATTTTAAACAATCTATGATTCTCAAACCTAGATGGGAGAAAATGTTCTATTAAACACTATCTAGCAAGTATTAAACAAAGAGTGATTGATCAGTGCACGCAGGATCAATCATCAAAAATTTAAAATTTATCCAAACTAAAATTTTATTAAAAATTTCATAATTCAAATCAGAGTAGTTCTTATGTTGATGTTCTAATGAACAAATTAGAAAGGTCATCTCTGTGTAAAATAAGATTGAGTGCACACAATCTTGCTAAAGAAAAAGGGCGACACTTATGTTTACCCACGAATAAACGAGTTTGCAATGTATGTAAATCGGGTGAGGTAGAAGATGTAAATCACTTTTTACTGAATTGTGAAAAATATTTTAAATACAGAATAAACTTTAAAACTATTATATTAAATATACTTCCTACAAGTCATAGTGAGAATCAGGTAAATATGAAATGTTGCATTAATAGCAATTCCTTAAAAGTCCTGAAAGTGACTAGTTCTTATATATGTAAATGTCTGGATTATAGAAATTAGATTTTATCTTCTTAATTATAACATATTATTTCATTATGCTGTATTCGTTGTAATAACATACTGAAATGTGGGCCTTTGTCAATTATTGTAATTATGTTTGTGCCAAAAAATATATAATTACGTAATTACTTTTGTATATACGTAATTATTTTGTATATACGTAAATCGAATTATGTATATACGTTAACAAGTATTTTTGACCTTGATTCCGCGCCATAATATGAATCAATGTTGCCCGTGTTATGCAGTAATCTCAGCTCAGACCAGGAGTCCATGCCAAGACATGTAAACCAATTTTCTCAGTAAAGTGGCCCGTAGAGGCGGATTTAGGGCCGGGGACAGGAGGACCATGCCCTTAATTATAAAGCTACATGAATGGTTACTGCATAGACTTTTTACAAGTCCCAATCGTAACGTTACCGTGCCCCCTTTTTTAAATCATGGATCCGCATCTGGTGAGCATTGTGCTGCAAGCTGGGACCATTAGATCACGAAATATAGTTAGCCAGGTACAAGGTTGTTTGGCAGTGCTGCACTATTTTTGACGTGGATATGAGGAAATCTGTGAACCAGTGTACAGCCTGATAGTGCAGTGTATTAAAGTGCAAGATTTCTGTGGTAATGTCGGGGCCTTCTATAGCAGACTATACGGTATGGGTTTTCTCGTTGTTGAAGGTCGTACGGTTGTCTATAATTTCTTACATCCACTTCATTTGACCTTTGGTGGATAGTGTTGTCTCATGGCAATTATACAACATCTACTTATCTTTATACAAATGCTTCCATTGGTTATCAACTTGAGAATGCATTTTATCATTACATGTATTTGTTTAATTTCATATTTTTAATTACGCATTTATCTTTAAATTGTAATTGTATATAGTTGATATCGATCCCAAAATGAATTCGACCTTTTACCTATGTCAGATTTTGGCAATTGAAAAAAAAACGTGGTTTATTCTTTAGTAACTGTTGTAATATGGCTCTGAACTAACTCTCACGATAATTGCGAGTAAGTTGGTCATATTTGTGTTTTGTCTTTTTTAATGCTTTTGCTTAAATTGTACTTTGTACCCCTCTGATTAGGTTAGTCTTTTCCGATTGGCTTTAACAGCTGATATTGATCTTGAAATGACACGGTGACTCGTGCAACGGACAATATTACACAGCATATAATCCAAACATCCCCCGTCACTGACAATATTACACTGTACATAATCCAAACATCCCCCGTCACTGACAATATTACACAGCATATAATCCAAACACCCCACGTCACTGACAATATTACACAGCATATAATCCAAACATCCCACGTCACTGACAATATTACACAGCATATAATCCAAACATCCCACGTCACAGACAATATTACACTGCATATAATCCAAACATCCCCCGTCACTGACAATATTACACTGCACATAATCCAAACATCCCCCGTCACTGACAATATTACACTCCATATAATCCAAACATCCCACGTCACTGACAAAATTACACTCCATATAATCCAAACATCCCCCGTCACTGACAATATTACACAGCATATAATCCAAACACCCCCCGTCACTGACAATATTACACTGCATATAATCCAAACATCCCCCGTCACTGACAATATTACACAGCATATAATCCAAACATCCCCCGTCACTGACAATATTACACTGCATATAATCCAAACATCCCCCGTCACTGACAATATTACACTGCATATAATCCAAACATCCCCCGTCCCTGACAATATTACACTGCATATAATCCAAACATCCCCCGTCCCTGACAATATTACACTACATATAATCCAAACATCCCTCGTCACTGACAATATTACACTGCATATAATCCAAACATCCCCCGTCCTTGACAATATTACACTGCATATAATCCAAACATCCCCCGTCCCTGACAATATTACACTGCATATAATCCAAACATCCCCATCGTCACTGACAATATTACACTGCATATAATCCAAACACCCCCCGTCCCTGACAATATTACACTGCATATAATCCAAACATCCCACGTCCCTGACAATATTACACTGCATATAATCCAAACATCCCCCGTCACAGACAATATCACACAGCATATAATCCAAACACCCCCCGTCACTGACAATATTACACAGAATATAATCCAAACACCCCCCCGTCACTGACAATATTACACTGCATATAATCCAAACAGGTTAAAGTTTTTGGTCAAGGTAGTTTTTGATGAAGTTAAAGTCCAATCAACTTGAAACTTAGTACACATGTTCCCTATGATATGATCTTTCTAATTTTAATGCCAAATTAGAATTTTGACCCCAATTTCACGGTCCATTGAACATAGAAAATGATAGTGCGATTGGGGCATCCGTGTACTATGGACACATTCTTGTTTTTTTTAAATGTAAGAAATATCAATAAAGGGCAATAACTCTAATAACATGTCGACTGAAGATTTCGACCATACGACTTATTTGTAGATATTGTCTTGCTGATCATTTGTGCTATAATTTTAAGTTTCTTTCTATCTATTACAGTTTTCAAGATAATAGGCAAAAACGCAAAAAATTGGTAAAAATCGCCATTAAAGGGCAATATCTCTAATAGACCTTTTCAACAACTCACGACACCGACTATTGACACCTACAGTTTACAGGAGAAATAGTGGGGTCGTATCAAAGATAAAAATCATTCAGGTAGATCATCCATGTAACATAAACGTAGTACTACATATTCGATATAAATTGTATTATTTAAAAACAAAAGAACGGGTATTGTGCAAATAGCTATTCTGGATTGTCTGTGTTTTCCCCTTTTTCATATTATAGCTATCATATGTGAAAAAAATATTTATAAACCATTTCTCTTTCAATTCTATAAATCTTTCAAAAAAAATCGGCAATCTTTTCACATCCGAATCTATTGCTTCTTCGGTAATATGATTATTGATATCTAGTTGTACGAGTTTTCCATGGAAGACTGCTTCGCTTGCCAACAGCCGTTAACTCGTTTTTGGAATGTTATTTTATGACTCTACAATTTATCCTCCCCAAAGTAACAAAGTTACGGATAGGACATTGCAACGGGACTATCTGTCTGTCCGTAACGCGTCCAAAACACACTTGTGGACATTGTAGAGGTTGCGTCTCAACAGATCTCCACTATACTTGTTGTACATATTGAATATAATTGACCGTTATAAGTTCCCGAATGAATCAGACCTTGACCCTTTGTTTTTGATACATTTTCTCCGTCCCCCGGCATAATCATCACGGGAAACACGTCTAGTATTTTGTAAGAAGCTAGAACTGTTTACCCTGTCGGAGCACTTGCGTTGATCCCAGTTTTACGGAGTCAGTGTTTTCTCATATAACGTTGGTCTTCTATGAGAAAATTGCCCTTTTCTTTTGTCCCCCGATTATTTTTCTTTATTTTCCCTTTTGCTGAACTTTTGTCTTCTATAAGAAAATTGCCCTTTTCTCTTGTCCCCCGATTATTTTTCTTTGTTTTCCCTTTTGTTGATCTACGCTTCGGTTTTCTTCTCTTATTTTGTTTTACTATGCGTCCCAATGGTCTTTTTTTATTTCACCTCTGACCAAACATAGAGAGAGGTTTTGGATCCGTTTATATATTAAGTAAAACTCCCGCTGCATAAATTTTGCCCCTTTTCAAACCCTGGACTATGTTGGTCGATAGTATATTCTTTTCTCGTTAGAATTTTTAGTTTATAACTCTTTGTTTTGTCGGAGCCGTTCAGATCTCGCTACTTGGTACTGAATTCGGAGATCACGCGGTAACTCTAAATGTCAGTTTTATGTGTTGCA